CCATTCATCTCGTGACGACCAAACCCTTTTCCCAAGATTTCTATTGCTTTCGTGTTCCCCTGGCAATACAGGGGCGGCACCTGCGGCACCCTTCCTGCGTAGTCGTTCGCCAACACTATACGACCAGCCGCTAATGCCTCGCCCAAACCTCCAAAAACTGCGCCGATTGCATGTCGTGTCGTGTGGCCCTGACGTCCATCTCGAAGGCCCGAGTCGCAAGAGTCGACACCCAATAATTGTAGCAGAGACTTGCGGTAGAAGTAGCCGTTGCCGACGTCCGCTGACGGATCCTCCCACCGTCGTTATTTGACCCTCACCCTCACACGTCGTCACCCGCCGTCGCCGCTTCGCCCCAAAACCCAATGGATAGAAAATCGGGCTCTCCCAAGCCCCCTCTCTCCGCCGCCTCTACACCATTCCCCCGCAACTCCCCGTACACGCCTCGCAAACCCAGACTCAACCGAAACCCTCCAAGCATAAGTAGACAAAACCCCGAAACAAGCGAAAACAATCAGCCACATACACACAAACAAGCACAAAATTCGAAAAAAAAAGACCCGGCTGGTAGGCAACCGCCCGACACCGTCTCCCTTTTCCCCTCCCTGGCGCTCGCTGATGTATGACTGATGGACACACGTCATGACGACGACACGTGTAATCCCCTCCTTAGATTGTCGATGGCCCTCCTTGAGGAATTAGTAATAGAGTTGTGTTTGCCACGTTGGACGACGTCCACACTCATTCGAACGGTAAGTGGCATAGAGAGAAGAGCTCCGCGTGTCGATCTATTAGAGAGACCGACATGTGTCAACAAGCAAGCAGGAGCTTACTAATACTGGAACCCCCTGGGCGTCACATATGTGACGAACCACTTTCTGTAGTGCGCGACTTTCTGCACGATTGCAATGAGGGGTCCTAAGCTGGGAAGGTTGGGCCAATTATGGGAGATTGGGATGGATGGGAAATTGCATCAGTACCCTCGCTTCTTCGTCTTTTGCGTCCATTCTTTTTGGATGGCTGAGTTCGGAGCTGGGTGTGTCCTTGGACGGACGATTGATTGGTCGGGTGGATGGATGGCGCGCCGCTAAGCGCGCGAATAATAAATATTGACGTCGTTTCTTTTGTTTTAGTTTCGGGACCTTTGAGGCGCGGACATCGTGCGGGAATTTTGCTTCGTTCTTTTTGAAATTTCCTTTTCGAATTCTTTTTCGAATTTTGTCGAGCCCCGGTGGCTCTCGGAATTTCGGACTTTCTTTTCGGAACTTGTGCTTTTTGCTTTTTCACATTAGATAGGAATTTAGGAATTTAGGAATTTAGGAATTTTGTAATTAGGACTTTCTTTTGCCACGCGGCGCATTTTGCTTACGCGCTTCTTTATGTGGCTGCAACGGAATTCTGATTAGTCGGCGCCTTTAATTGGGTGTGTAACTGTAATTTTGGACTGGTGTCATTGGAACTGTATCTTTCTTCTTGTGCTTCGTCTTTCCCGTCTTTCTTATCTTTCTTTTGCTACGTTTTTGGTAGTCGTGGTATACATGGTCGGATCGATGCGTGGAGAGTGGCTACGTCCCCCACGCCGCGTTCTGGCCATGCAGGCATAGGCAATCCCTCCCCCTTCTCTCTTTCTAAGTCTTTGTAATTTCGTGTTCCTCGCGCATGCATGCATGCTATAAATTTCAGTTGCGTGATTAGTTATCTCTCTTAACTAGTTGTTGGACGCTCGGGGTTGTGCAATCAGAGAGGATCGACACACGAGCAAAGTAAGAGGTGAGTAGAGTAGGAGCCGGGCGACCCGACGAGCTGGTGGCAAACGCGCGGGGTTGACGCGGGCCACGACAGACTGTGGGCGTGGGTGAACTTGATGGGTGCGGGAGGACTAAGCGGGGTAACGGCTTCGTGGGTTGGTGCGCGACGACGGACTGTCCGCATCGGAGAGAGAGAGAGAGAGAAAGAGGGAGCTAAGGATTGATGGATGCGTATTTGTTGTTTCTTTTATCGTTTCTCCCTCCTGTCTCGTGTATATAAATTTTGATTTTTGGCTCCGGGTGATTTGCCCGTTTCTGTTTTTCGGGATCTGGATTTGGTTTTTCACTCACCCTTGTCCTCGTGATTTCCCATCTTGGATATGGTGTATGAATGTGTGAATGAATGAATGGATGTCGTGTTTGGTTGTTTGTCTTCCTATCGGATCCTTGCCTTTGCTCTTGTTTACTTCCTTTGATGCACTCATGAGTAGGATAGGAACTTTGTGCAATCGTTAATCCTGTTCTCGTTTTTGCTCATCTTTTGATTGAGCTGTTGTGGTTGTTGCATCTTGCATTACGGAGTGATTAGACAATCGAATGTCTGGCCCAGCGAACGCCACGCGAGGACGCATGTAAACGCGGCCTGATCCGCGCATTTACACGTGCCTCTGTGCGTCGATTCGTCAATTCCAAAACGGACCACCGACTGCAGAAGTACTGTCTGACTGGATACGGCCATCCGGGGCCTGCGACGGAGCAGTCATCCCGTGCGGACACGTGTAAGCGCGACTTGATCCGCGCAGCCTGCACGTGCTCGCACGCGGTGATCGCAATCGGCACAGACCCGCCCTTAGGCATCTCGCAGCTCTGCGATGACATAATGACACACTCAGAGAGCTCGGAGTCGTTATTGTACGACCCGGACTATTTCACCCCTTGGAAAGAGGAAAGCCTCCGACAGAGATATCCTTGCCTAACAGAGAATCGACTGTGTCCTAGGGAGTTTCACTGCGCCACCACTAGCGACCCCCGGTGCTCTGATTTCCCCACTCAGGACCGCACCTACTACTTCACCCACCCCGGATTTGTCGTTATCTACACCAGCTTCCCTCCCTTCCGTCTTCTTCTTCCGTATCACCAACTCAGCTCGTCCCGTGGAAGGCCATAGCCCCATACTGGCCCAGCACACCCTGCGGAAATTGCCGCCGACGTGGCGACCAGAGGGCCCGGAATCCCGAAGGCCTAACCTGAACGCACGACGACCAGCGCCACGTGGCAACTTTCGACGGCCTGACTCATCGGAACCCCACCCACCCCGGAGGGACCTTCCAACAAACTGCCGTCCTCGAAACCAATGGCTCGCCCGTCCTTGAATGACCCGCGCATGCCATCTGTTTTATGACCAGAGGCGGTCCGCCCTCTCCGCCAAATCGCACTCGTGCCCCCAAAAAAACTCTGCTATAGGAGATCTCAGTTCTGACCTGGGACTCCACCCCCACTTTCCCAAAAATCCTTGGCACACCCCTTTTCGCACTTCCAGGCCCACATCCTACTCCGATCAGGAAGTCGCGTTGGACATGAGGTTTTGGGTGTCACAGCTTCGCGTCATGGAGAACCTGAGGGAGTGGCTAGGCAGTGTAGCATATTATGCATTGTTCTTTTGCGTAGAAGCTACATGTTAGGGGGCACAGTCGAGAGTGTTGAAATGCAGACCACATTAGGGGCATAACAATTCTCTCTTTGAATGTAGAGTATTCAAACTTTATAAGTTTATATATTGAATTATATTTTCTGTTTATTTATTTGTGTCCTTTTTTTTTCTCTTCCTTTTTGGTTTCATAAGATTTCGCCATGCTTTTGATTAGCTGTTGTGAACATTGCAGGTGGGTGGAGAGTGGAGGGAGTGGTTGAGGATCGACATGGCAGTTGTGTCCTCTTCGTTTTGGTGTTTTTCGACTTTGCTATTAACCAAGGCTGCCATCAACTGAGGTCATAGCTTCGAGGTGTGATTGTTGGATTGAGCATGCTTTGAAGTACGTGTGTTGGTGGCATGTCGCTTGTGTTAGGGCGTTTTTTTGTGAATGAGAAGCAATTAACAGGGGAACAGGTCGTAGATGTTTGTGTCGGTGATGGCGTTCAAGTATCTTCGGGCTGGTGATGAGGTCCAAGTGCGGGGGAGGGGGGCCTTTGCCCCCTCTTCCCCACACCTCCTCCGCCCCCCCTGTTAGAGGACTCTATGTAGCTGCCGGAGAAATGATCATGCTAGTTTTCGTCATGCTAGTGATGATGTTCAAGTGTGTGAGAGGGAGTCCCAAAGGCATCACGGTCTTGCCCCGAACACAACACACCCTAGTTTTCCTTGTATCGGGGGGGAAACATACCTTGTATACGTTTATTTTTAGTGTGCGTTATGTTCGGAGAAGTCGACAATAGCGTTGCGTTTAGGTAACCCCTCTGGAGTTTGATGCTTTGCATCAAATAAGGTATAAGCCTCTCACTCAGATGACTTTACCTCGTTCACATATATGTCCAGAGATGGCAGTGTAGTGAAAGTTTCTATCATGCTTTTGATTAGCTATCACCAACACCCCAGGTGGGTGCAGAGCGGAGGGAGCGGTCGAGGATCGGCATGGCAGTTGTGAATTCTTGGTTCTCAGACTGGTGTTTCTCGAGTTTGCTATTGACCCACGGTGCCATCAACTGAGGTTATAGCCTCGAGGTGTGATTGTAGAATCCATCATACTTTGAAGTAGGTGTGTTGGTGGCATGTCCCTTGTGATGAACAAGGGAACATGTTGTAGATATTTGTGTTGGTGATGAGGTCTAAGTGTGGGCCCTCCACACCCCCTCACCCCCCATGTTAAAGGATTGTATATAGCTGTCGTAGAAATGATCATTTTAGTTTTTCTCATGCTTGTGATAACGTTCAAGTATGAGGAACGAGGGGCTCCTTTCCCCTCCCCCACACGCCCTCCCCCCCGCCCATGTCCAAGCGGTGTGGGGTAGAGGTAGCACCCCGTTCGCGCTCGCCAGCGAATGCGAACACGTTCGCCCGAACGCGAAGAGGCTCCAAAAAACAGCGAACACGAACGTTTTTTTGTTTTTTTTTTTTTTT